TCGGGTTAAGGTGACAGAACGTGTGCTGTTTACTGCTAGTGTAATTGTTCGTAGCTGATAATCAAACGTATTTTATCGTTTGGTTGGATGAACTTGATGAATGATTGGTTATAAAGTTGTCTATTATTTTAATGAATACGAGAAATCAATCAAAATTTCAGTTTATACAAAATTCACACGTAGTGTTGCCAGCCTCGATCGTCGCAATCAGTTGAATCGTCATCAATCGACTTCTTGATGAAAATTCCATCAGAAACGAACTAAATCAACAGTTATAAAATTGCTACACGTGCGTGAAGAGATTGGTATAAGTGCAGCATTTATGCGCAGTATACTTCAACAATATTCAGAATCGGACAATAACATCGAATGAACGCGTCTTCTCAACTGTACTCGGCCAGCAACAAGTGATTGATCCATAGCACTTCAACAAACTCAGATCTACAACCGCCGTCATGAGCACTGGTGTACTTCCGTTTGTGAGGGGCATCGATTTCTCACGCAATGATTTCTCGGTATGTGTATTCTGATCTTTATTCGTTAGTACACAGATGCGATGCATTATCAATTATTGAATATCAGTTTGTTATTATCTTTGCACTGACCATTGAAAAAGGTTGTGTTATTAATTGGTGTCCATCACATTGCCGTCATTATTCGTGATAATAAGGTGTACATACCATTTAAGGGTGATCGTTTTCCGCACGAAGTTGAACAAATGACTCAGATGACTTGGTTGAAATTGAATCATGCCTCTCTTGACAGGGTAACTGCTCTTTTCTTGTTTATTTATAAATGATTATTATCGGAGTGTAATGATATCAGTAACTATAGTATAAATGACTGCGTTAAGGTACCGGATGAATTATCGCGACTTTCAAACCTCGAGCATTTACAAATGTCGCGCAACACATTGACAAGTGTACATGGTGAGCTGTCAGATCTACCAAGACTCCGATCTGTGATTGTCCGTCATAATCAGGTTGTTGTTGTTATTTTCATTATTACAGTTGTTGTTGTCGGTAATTGTTTGGAGTGAATTGGTTGCATTAGTCATCAATTTATTCACGGATAAGTTCATTTCACATGATCGTTAATTATTTGCAAGGTATGACACAAACTGGTATACGAAAAGCGGAATGCTCCAGTTGATAGATCGTTTGATGTTTGTCATATATTATCATACAAATTTACCAACACTGTGTAATATCAATTGTTTTTTTCTTAACTAGCGTGTTGCGGGGAAAGGAGAATACGGGGCCGTGAATATGTTGCTGCCTTGAAAAATAACAAGGAAACGGAGACTTGGTCCCCGAAATTTGCCGTTCTCCGCAATGCACTATTGAAAAATAAAAACGATTCAGATCAAAACGTCGGGTATTCCAACGGATATATTTCGTATGAAAGATCTGACGATAATCGACTTCAGCAATAATTCATTAAGAGAAGTACCACCCAACTTGGAATATGCGAAATGTGCAATCGTACTAAATCTAAGTCATAATCACATCGAGAACATACCGAATGCTGTTAGTCACTTTATCAGTCATGTATATGTTTATGCATTCCATTTCGATTTGGTATCATTCCATTTCGATTTGGTATTTGAAGTATAGAATGATGTACGCAGGGTTCTATTATTTCATCTGGTGCAATGGTGCAGACGTAGTATTGATTAATATGCCCTGTCACATATATTCGTTCTATACAAATCGACATGTTGCATAC